ATCAGAAACTATATATTTGTTTACTAATTATACTTTTTCCTTTGTGATATCTTCCTTTCTTTCTCAAGTGGTCTTAATTTTTTCTTTATTCAATTATATCGAGCATTTTTGATAATAAAGAGAACTGTTGTGGTTTTTTTTTTGAGACAGAGTCTCACTCTGTCACCCGGGCTAGAGCTGTGTGGTGGCATCAGCCTAGCTCACAGCAACCTCCAACTCCTGGGCTGAAGTGATCTCCTGCCTCAGCCTCCCGAGTAGCTGGGACTACAGGCTTGCACCACCAAGCCCAGCTAATTTTTCTATTTTTGGTAGAGATGGGGTCTCACTCTTGCTTAGGCTGGTGTTGAACTCCTGAGCACAAGCAATACTCCCGCCTCGGCTTCCTGGAGTGCTAGGATTACAGGCGTGAGCCACCGCGCCCGGCCCTGAGTTCTTTTTAATTCATGCGGTTTGTCAGATGATTGCTTTGGGTCTCTGAGCCTACGCAGTCATTTTATGTGCACATAATAATTATTTTGTCTGTTTTCAATGTCTGTGCTCCTATTTCATTGGCCAGAACTTTCAAGACTGTATTCAGGGATACTGGTGACCGAAGGCATCATTATGTTGCTTTTTGTTTCAAAGGGAAAGCTTTTGCCATTCCCTTGATGTTGCTCCTGGCATGTGCGATGACATCTGTCTGCTCCTACCCAAAGGGGCTGGGATAATTCACAACAACCCCTACAAAAACCCTTGTCCGGCCCTTTGTGCATCTGGCACAAAGCAGCAGGGAGCTCGTTGTTTGGAAATACTGCTCTTCCTAGAATTCCCAGCTTGCCCCAAACTCTGAGCTCAACTGCTGGTCCCCTTCCAGCTCAGCCCCTGATATGCCGCTTCTGAAAGCCTGACTTCTAGTTATTCCTCCTCCCTGGCAGGACTGGGCACTCTCCCAGCCGATGTAAGAGCTGGTGTTTGACACTGGACGGTGGCAGGGCCAGGGTTACCTAGCGTAGCCCCTGACCAGAGTAGGCGTTGACAGCCCTACGTTAACGACATCCCTGTTGCTGGACAGAGGAGCCCTGTGGCCCCTCAGTCACTTGGACTTTTGCCCTTTTCCCACCTGTCCCCCGTCTTTTCTCAAACCTCAGTGAGGTCACCAGAACCACTGCCCTGCTCTCAAGCCTGCAGCACTTCTGGCACTGTGCTCTGGGGGGGGTTTCTAGTCCAGTGGGAAAACTGACATAAAAAGGGGTTAATACAATAGAGAGTGAAGAGGCTGAGCTGCTGGAGCAACTAACTGCTTAGGGCAGTTAGAGAAGGCTTCATGGAGGAGGTGACATTTGAGCTGGGTCTTGGAGCAAGAGTAGAAATTCTATGAGACAGATGAGGGAGAAGGGCTTCAATTATGATTATTTCCATATATTTTGTATTATTGTTGATGTTAGGAACAGGGTCTTTAAAACTATATTTTATTGCTGGCATATGGGAATATTATTGAAGTTTGCATATGTATTTTGGAGCAACCTGCAAAGGCTTAGGGGCCTAGAAGAGCCTTGGCTCTTTGGGGACAGGGGGCGTTTGCTGAGAGAGAGATGGGGCAGTGCTGCCAGATGCAGCGAGTGCTCCTGGGGCTCAGGGGTGGGGCGGTGACACCAGCAAAAAGGGTGACCTAGGAAGACTTCTGGAAGAGGTGGCAGGGAGCTGGCCTTGAAGCATAGAGAGGATTTGGATTGAGTGGGAAGGGGAGGGCAAAGTGGAAGGGAGGAGAGAAAGAACATTTGTAGCATCCCCGCCAGGTATGTGCCAGGTGCTTTTTTAGTCATTATTTTATTGCATGTATTTTTCCTGACACCCCTGTTAGGTAGATGATGATACCTGCACTCTACAGATGAGAAGACTGAGGCTCAGGGAACGTAAGTGACACTTAGATGAACGGGACAGCCTCATTTCTGACCTCGTGCTTTCAGCGTCTCCCTGCTGCCATATGTATATATATGTACACACACACATATGTATCAGCTTTATTGAGATATGTCACATACCATACGGTTCATCCATTTAAAGCATACAGTTCAATGGTTTTAATACATTCACAGAGTCATGCAACTATTAATATCACCACAATCCTAGACACCTTTATTATCCCCCAGAGAACCCCCTCTACCCTTTAGTCATCACTACCCCAGCCCCTGCAGCCCTAGGCAGTCACTAATCTACCTTCTGTCTCTATGAATTGGCCTATTCTAGTCATTTCATATAAATGGAGCAGTATGATCTGTGAGCCCTTGTGACTGGCTTCCTTTTTTTTCTTTCTTTTTTTTAAGAGACAGGGTCTTGCTCTGTCACCTGGGCTAGAGTGCCGTGGCATCATCATAGCTCACAGCAATCTCAAACTCCCAGGCTCAAGTGATCCTCCTACCTCAGCCTCCAGAGTAGCTGGGACCACAGGTGCGGGCGCCACTGTGCCTCGCTAATTATTCTACTTTTGGTAGAGACAGGGTTTTGCTACGTTGCTTAGGCTGGTCTCGAACTCCTGGTCTCAAGTGATCCTTCCACCTTGACCTCCCTAAAGTGCTAGGATCACAGGCATGAGCTGCCACACCTGGCCTCATTTCTTTTTATTTCAGGATCATATTACTTTGTATGGATATGCCACATTTTGCTGATCCATTCCTCAGTTGATGGACATTTGGGTTGTTTCCACGTTCAGGCTATTGTGAATAATGTCGCTATGAACACTTGTGTGTAATGTGTTTTCGCGTGGACGTATTGATATGTTTTCATTTCTCTTGGGTGTATACCTAGGAGTGGGGTTGCTGGGTCGGATGGTAACCCTGTGTTAGGCCATGCGAGGAACTGCCAGACGGTTGTGCAGGGTGGCTTCCCAGCTGCTGCCCGTCCAGGGCTTGCCTGCAGTGTGAAAGGGCTAGGAAGAAGGTCAAACCACAAAGCCTGTGTGAATTGCCTGTTTTCAGAGTAGACTACTGTGAAGTGCTCTTAAGACTGCAGCTTCACTGTCGAGTCTTTGATTATTGCAGAGGGACTTGTGGATTCTGCAGGGCACAAGGACACCACTATGAGTGCTGGTCATCATTGTGCTGCAGACATGCTACCAGCTAGCAGGCTGTGGTAATAGGGAAGGTGCTAGAATAAATCCTAAGGTTTAGGGTGCAAAGGAAGGACAGGTGCGAGTTAATGCTGATGAGGAAAGCCCCTGGAAGCGGGAGGGCAGGGTCTGAAGCCCAGTCCAGGGGAGATAGGCAGGAGGGCAAGGAGGCCGGGAGGGGGATGGGGTTGGGGTCCACGTGGGGCTGGGGCAAGCGTGTGGGCAGCTGTGGCTGATGCTCTGGTCTGTCTTCATCCTTTGGCTGCAGACCTGGCCGAGTGCAAGCTGGTTTCCTTCCCCATTGGCATCTACAAGGTCCTGCGGAACGTCTCCGACCAGATCCACCTCATCACGCTGGCTAACAACGAGCTCAAGTCTCTCACCAGCAAGTTCATGACGACATTCAGTCAGCTCCGAGGTAGGCCCTGGTCAGCTCCAGCCAAGAGGGCATGGCCATCCTGCATCCTTCAGTCTCTGACACTATCTGGGGTGTATCTCTAGAACCCACCCCTGATCAGCTAGAGCCATGAAGTCATCCCAAGGGGTAGACTTTGAAGATGGACCTGTGTTCTTGCAGCCTGGAAATCTCTAGGTCACTTCTGCCTCTAACTGGCTGTGAATCAGATTGACGAAGGGTCAGGGGTGTGAGTCCTGGAGTGATTCTCTTTTTCTGAACAGAGTAGTGGGGTGTTTGGGTCCTGAGGTTCAGAAGTCTTTACTTCCCAGTGGCCTTGGATGAGCCTCCTTCTCACCCTCCAATATAGCTTTGTTCTTCTGTGTTGCTTTTCCAGTTCAGGAGTGACAGATGCCAGGGATGTTGGCATTTTCTCTGCTGGGTACACACTGAACACGTGGACATGGTGCTTGGCAGGGCAATGGCAGGAGGCCAGCGGATGGGCCTTGTAGATTCTCCTGAAATGGCTCCTCTGGATGCATGAGCAGTTTGCACTCATGCAGGTCTGGTGAAGGTTGCAGCCTGCCCCCTTCACCAGAGAGCAGTCGCTCCAACCTTCTGTGAGACGTCACCGCTGCTCAGAGACCCATGGAGCAGAACCGTGGCCTGGGTACTTGTGTGTTTGCAAAATGGTGGGGCTGGAGAATTGCAGAGGGCACAGCAAGTCTAGAAGAGGTGGTTCCTGCCTTCTGGAACTCTCTATATGATAGGGACATGAAAAGAGTCTAAGATTTTGTTTAAAGCAACAAATACACAAAATGCTGATGGCACATGAGGGACTTGGGCAAGCCTTTCTCATATAGCTGAATGTAGCCTGGGCAGGCTTCCTGGAGGAGGTGTGAGCATTGGGCAAGCCCAGAAGGGAGAGGGTGGTATGAATTGGCAAACATGGTCCAAGGACGGGAAGTAGCTTGTACAGTGGCTCAGGAGGGAGCTACAAGCAGGACCTGGAATGGTGCAAACAGAAAGTCAAGGAGGAGGGATTAGTCTGTGTGGCTGTTTCTGAATGAAGCTCACAGAGCTCATCGCATTTGTGCCTGAAAAGCTTAAATGTCTATAATGGGGGTGGGGGGAGGGAACTAGGGCAAGCCCTGTGGATGCTTTTAACCTGGCCTACCTCGCCCACCTTTCTTTTCCTGGCAGCTGCTTCTTTATACAGATGACATAGGTCCTCACAGTCATTAGGCCCCTTGGACCAGCAGTTCTCATCCCTGGCTGAAATCAGAGCTTTTCTGCAAACACTGTTGCCTAGCCTGGATCCCAAGAATAGTTGAATCAGAACATCTGGGTGTGGGCCTGGGCCTAGGCTTTTGTTGTTACCTACACCAGTCATTCTAAAGTGACTATAGCTCAGGGGTTATAATTACAAGTTCCTGAGAGACTAGCTTGAAGGAATGAGTGACTCAGATTGGGTCTGCAACAAGGAGTGGTGGGGACTGTGGCAAGCAAGTACATGCCCTGCCCAGCCTTAGCCGGGTGTACCACGAGAGAAAATGGGCCAATGTTGTCCACTCTTCTGCTGATTTAATTGACACTGGAAGTAAGGATTTTTATTTGAATTTCCCCAGGTTTTACATAATATAACAGCCAATAAAACACATTAGCAAGCTAGATTTAGTCCATGGGCCACTAATTGAGAGACTCTCTTGAAAAATATTATTAATAGCACTGCCTCTGCCATCCTGTTTCATGGATGGAGAAGGAAGGTCAGGGAGGGAGGGGACTTGTCCAGGGTCTCAGACGAGTAGGTCCAGGATGGGAACCCAGGTTGTCCACCTTGCAGGCCAGGGCTGTCTTTTTTTTTTGAGACAGAGTCTCACTGTGTTGCCCGGGCTAGAGTGCCGTGGTGTCAACCTAGCTCACAGCAACCTCAAACTCCTGGGCTCAAGTGATCCTTCTGCCTCAGCCTCCCGAGTAGCTGGGACTACAGGCATGCGCCACCATGCCCGGCTAATTTTTTCTATATATTTTTAGTTGTCCGATTAATTTCTTTCTATTTTTAGTAGAGACGGGGTCTCGCTCTTGCTCAGGCTGGTCTCGAACTCCTGAGCTCAAACAATCCGCCCGCCTCGGCCTCCCAAAGTGCTAGGATTACAGGCGTGAGCCACCGCGCCCGGCCAGGGCTGTCTTTTTAAGCCACCTGCATTAGCTCAAGAGTCCTCTACTGCTGTGTCCAGCCAATTGGGATTGGGTATTTGCTTTCCAGAGGAGGAGAGAACAACTGAAAATGCATGGTGGGCGTTGTCCGGGGCCCCCAGGGAGGACACAGGCAGGTGGGTGGCTTCTTTGGGGTACGAGGAGAGTTTTTGTGCACTCGTTAGACCTTCCCTTTAGCACCTGCCGTCTCCCAGACCTATTTGGAGAGGGAGACAAAGAAGGCTGATCCAGCAGACTCCCTCCCCGAAGGAAGCCAGGGTTTCGGACAGACTCATCCTCACCGCTGCGACGTTGCTGTGACATTGGCGTGGACAAAATGCTGGAAGGAGCCATGGGGAAGGGAATTAATCCTTCCTGAGAGTGGCGTGGGCAGGGGCTGGGCATGGAAGCAAGAGCTTTCAAAGGACTTGACATTTGAGCAGTGCTTCGTGGGATGAGTAAGCAGGCCCTCTCCAGGGGGCACGGAGAAAGGTGCCAGAGAAAGGCCACTCACAGAGCCGCACATCGTCTCCGACCGGCTGCGGAATCATGTTTATCAGAGCACCCTCCGGTCAAGGTCTGTTGAAGGAGGCTGTTTGAGCTCCTTCCTCGCTGCGGCGGCTCCGGACTCCCCCCACAGCCTCAGATTACAAAAGGAAGGCCAGCGTGCCTGCTAATTGGATTTCACAGAGGCAGCGGGTCAAGGGACGTGGTGGACAGTGGTGGGGAGGGGCTGAGCTGAGTGTGCCCGAGAGATGGCTCTGCGCCTGAGCCTTTGTTATGGTTTTTCTTTCAATTAGAAAAACCCTCTTCTTTCGCATGTGAACAGGAGGCTTAAACAGGCTTTGCTGGGCTCTGCAAGGCCTGCTGTGTCCTCTTCTGGGTACTTGACAGAGGTGGGCTGGGGAGAGAACGTTCTGCGTCCTCCCTGCCTGCCCCGCTGTCTCCAGGCCCGAGGCTCGAGGACCCCTCAGGGGCGGGCCGTCTGTAAGCGATTCCACAGCCTCGATGTCCTTCACCCATTTCATGGAAGGAAAAAGCCAGACCCGAGAAAGCCGAGGGCACAGATGGAACTGGTCTGATGGCAGGTGGTCCCCCCACCGTGGCTGTGGCTCTGTCCCCTCTTCTCCTGGATCCCTGTCACCCCGCTTCCTCCCTAGCTGCTCAGCTGTTTTTATCGAGCATACCTGGGCCTGCCAGACACCAGAGATATATGAGACACGCCTATGGAAATAAACAAAGACCACCCACATGAGAAAAGCAAAGGCTATTTATTCTGAGTTTGCTATATTGCAAGAGAGTCAGCCACCACCACTGGTGTTTTGGAAGAGACTCAAAGGCAGGCGGCACAGTGGGACAGCTGTATTGTAGAAATAAGGGACGCCTTCAGGTACTCTCTGATTGGCGGCTGTTGGCAGGGGGAAGCCGCAGACTAGAAGCGGGGCGTCGTACGTGATGGTTAGGGGCGCCTATTTGGCTTTCTCTGGTTGGTCCTCAGTTGGAAGCAGGGACAAAAGTCAGGGATGCCGTCAGTTATTAATCAAGCCCTGACCATTAGGACCAGGTGTTACAGGGGATATTGTTTGGCTTCCTGGATTATTGCTAGAGACAGAGTCTGACTCCCTACCACGCGTAGCAGGCTGGCGTCCTGCGCCGGTTACTGTAGCTAAGGGGTTGGTTTCCGGCCAGGTTGCTGCACGTTGTGGATCCGAGTTCTGTTTCTACACTTGGTCTGGTCATTATCTGTTTGTATATTCAGCCTCTCACACCCCTGCCTTTCAGTTCAGTTCAGCAGATCGTCACAAGCATCTGTGCTGGCCTGGCCGCGGGATGCACGGGGCAGTGACGCGGGAGCCCCCATTCATTGAGTGCTTAGCTGTCCCGGCTCCACGCCAGGTGTCCTCTGTGCATCGTGTCATGTAATCCTGGTAGCACTCGTGCCATCTGGGAACGATGAGAAAACTAAGGGCTGGACGTGGCCCTGGAGGAGCCGCTGTGTCGCAGGGGAGGCGGGTGTCTGAGCAGACTCCCTCCCCATGGCGGGAGGGGCGACACAGCAGGCGTTTGCCGAGCAGGCGAAGTCAATTCTGCGTGGTTAGGGAATCAGAAAATCTCCAGGGGAAACGACTTGAAGCCGGGATTTGACAGATGAGTAGGAGATTGCCTGGTAAATAAGGGGGAGTGTCGAAGCATCTTTCAGGAAGATGAAAGGTTGTTTGGGAAATGACTGGAAAGGTGGTACGAGACGGTTACAGAGCAGAGGGACTGGCTGAAGGGAGCGATCGGCCCAAGCAGGGGTATTTGGGAAGAGTCCTGGGAGGTGGGCGTGGGACAGACCCTGTGGAAAAGGCAGAAGGAAGCATCCCAGCCAGGAGAAGAGCTGAGTCCAGACGTGAGGCTGGGAAGGTGCGGGAAGGGGCAGAGCCTCCACGGCCACGTGCTGAGGGAGGTGGTGAGATCCTTCTGCCCTCGAAGCAGGCGAGTCCCCTCACCGGGGGAGCCTGGCTGGGGAGCAGGGAGGCAGCCCCTGGGCTTTGGCTGGCTGAGGGCAGCCCGCGCAGGTGCGGGTGGGCTGGGAGTCGTCGGCTGCTGTGGTCAGCTGGGCTGGGTGCCTCTGTGGAGATGAGCTGACCCAAAGGCCCTGCAGCAGGAGAAAAAGGGTCAACAGAGCTCGGCCTGTCAGAGCTGGGCCCCAGAGGGCTGCTAGCTGGGCGCTGCGGGAGCCCCCGTCCCTGGAGCAGTGTGGCGGTGAGACATTCTCCGGGCTTGCAGCTTGTTTTCCGCTGTGGTTTTTGAGCAGCAACAGGCTTCTTTGCCTGTTTCTGATG